TACAACCGTGGGAAAAAACATTGTTATTAACGAAAAACTAAATACCATTTTTTTAAAATCTTATTTTGTTAATAACAATTGCAATTTTTTACCTGCACCAAAATCCTTCAAAAACATTTCTCTAGAGGTGATTCCGAATCGAATGAGCTATCGCTCATATTTTCAGGACCTTTAGCTCTATTTTTCATGTTTTTGAACTTGTTGATTAGACTAGAGGGGAAACCAGCAAATCATGTTTGGTCCCATCAACATAATATCGAGTGGTCTCAAGCTGAGATCACACACAGGAAGGAAGACTGGTTTAGGAGGAAATTGAAAGAAGCCGCATACATGTTGTTCAACATATTCAGCTAAGCTAGCATAGAGATACGCAACATATGGAAACCCATAATCTGTTTTTCAATGGCCAACTCCCGCTAAACTGGTGAAGCGGAAAGAGGAAATAAGTGATAGTACTCGAATGACCTATAAATAGTCATCTCTCGAAGGAATTAGTCCAGTCATCACTCGATACTGACAATCGAAACGTCGTGAAGTAACTTGGCTTGGAATCTCTTAATTTTTTATTTTTTGTTCAATTGTTCTATTTTCTACTTGTATTTTATTTCACTGTTATTTCATTTCAGAGTTTTTTTGCTTAATATAATTGTTATTTTTAGCAATTCTTTTTAATTTTTCATTTGTATTGATTCTTTCAGAGATTTCAAATCATGTTATATAAATCACACGAAATCACAAAAATATTTTGCGTATAATTTAGACTAAAAAAAACTATAAAATACTGTATTTATTACTTTTGCTAGAAAATGACGCTTGAGATATCCATTGTTCAGCAACTAAATACCACTCTTTAATGAAGATTCACTGTGCATTTGCAAAAGTAGCGATTAACGTTTGATATCATCCATTTGATTTATTTTCGTTAATGATTTGACTTTCAAGCAGTAATTTTTACGATGTTTGCAGATTATATCAAACGTTTCTGAAACAGATTCTGATTGTGATTACAGAGAGATTTGAAAAACATTTTTGAAATGGGGCTGAATTCACCATATTGACACCATAATGAAAGGCATTATTGTGAAGAGAAAACTTAATGCATACCGAGTCTTTTACTTTCCGATGATGGAGACAGATTGTTTTCTGCGAAATTTTAAGTAATGATAAAATATTCAACACATTTGAAAGGTATATTGATATTTAAGCAGTACCTTGACATAATGAAACTATGGTTTTGGCATTTGATATTCGATGGTCATCAAAATTATTTTCGTTTAATTTTTTTATAACTTTGGGGAAAACTCTAGAACCGAATTGTTGAAAGTATTTTTGAACAAACGGAGTTTCCCAAAAAATCCTTGCTATAAATGTCCAAAACTTTTATGAGAACTTAAATACATGAAATGTCGAAACTGGAAAAATAATTGGACTATTGTATTTGAAATCAAATTGTAAATGTTCAGAACATACAATTAACATTGAATAGAAAAAACACAAATACTTACGTGCTAATCCCATAACGATAACTGCGAACCTATAATATTTGAATTTGGTGTGATGTTCTTTCGTCGCCAAACCCAGTCCAGTAAGAACCGTTGCTACGAGGTCTGTCAGAAGTGTTATCACGCACAAAGTAGCTGCTGCTCTGATGTAAGCTGAAAGGAAAGGAAGTGAAAATACAACATTCATAGCACGACAAAATTTGAAATTACTAAAATAATATAAAAAAATGAAATTCTATATTAACGTATGGCCTTTTAGAAGTCACTATTTCAACAGAGTCTATCAAAACTTAATCGAGTCTCACCGACTTTTAATCTAGTTGGATTTGACACATGAAACTTTCCCATCTGGGAAAAAATAAATTAAATGGAAAGGGTGATCTTGTGACACATTATTTTGAAGCTCCTGACGAATACTTCACAACCATAGAAAATAATGTCAATATCTTCAACTACTACAAAATGGCGGAACATTTAATAATTTCTACTTATTCCGTCGCGAATGTTTGTGAGGTGTCTCCTTCTACTGTGTGGAGACTTTTAAAGAGGAATAGGTATCATCCATACAAAATTAAAATGGTACACCAATTAACTAAAGATGACCCGGATCGAAGAACAGAATTCTGCGAAATCATGACGGAAACCATTGTTGCAAGGCATCCTACCTATCTCCACAATATTTGTTTTAGTGACGAATGTACTTTTTTTTTTTTAAAACGGCAATGTTCACAAACAAAATGGCCGTTATTGGAGTGATACCAACCCTCACGTTTTCCGGGAAACACATACCCAATATCCAGAAAAAATTAACGTTTGGGCAGGAATATTGGGACACCATATTGTAGGACCTCTATTTATTGATGAAAAATCAACAGGGGAACTGTATTTGAATATGCTGGAAAATACTGTTGACTCTCTCATCACTGAAATCGTCGAAGCGAATCCTAATGAATTCCATATGGGTATTGTATTCCAACAAAATGGAGCACCACCACATTACTCCAGACAAGTAAGAGACTATTTGGATACTACTTTTCCCGATCGTTGGGTTAGCCGTCGAGGTCCTACAACATGGCCAGCCCGCTCACCAGATTTGACACCTTTGGACTTTTTTTATGGGGCTATTTGAAGCAAAAGCTGCTGCAATATTGGATATACGGCAGAGAATAATAAATATTTTTAGAGATATTGACGTTACTGTGTTCGAAAAGGTTCGGGGTTCGAAGCAACCATTTCGAGCATCTTCGGAACTGACCTCAAGCTTATTACCTTATATTATGTAGTTATATGTCAATTTATTCAGGCAATTATATGAAGTTCCGCCATTTAATAGTAGTTGAAGATATTGACATTATATTCTAGGGTTGTGAAGCATTTGTCAGGAGCTTCAAAAAGATGTGTCACAAGACCCCCCTTTCCATTTAAACTCTTTATCCCAGATGGCGCCCAGTCGCCATCTTGAAAGTTTCATCTGTCAATTTCACTTCAAAATAAAGTATTCATACATTGAATTTCATTATCCCAAATTTCAATTTTTTGAGTTTCTTTCCCATCTGGGAAAAAATAAATTAAATGGAAAGGGTGATCTTGTGACACATTATTTTGCAGCTCTTGACGAATACTTCACAACCCTATAATATGAAGTCAATATCTTCACCTAGTACAAAATGGCGGAACATTTAATAATTTCTACTTATTCCGTCGCAATGTTTGTGAGGTGTCTCCTTCTACTGTGTGGAGACTTTTAAAGAGGAATAGGTATCATCCATACAAAATTAAAATGGTACACCAATTTACTGAAGATCACCCTGATCGAAAAACAGAATTCTGCAAAATGATGACGGAAACCATTGCAAGGCAATCCTACCTATCTCCACAATATTTGTTTTAGTGACGAACGTACTTTTTTTTAAAACGGCAATGTTCACAAACAAAATGGCCGTTATTGGAGTGATATCAACCCTCACGTTTTCCGGGAAACACATACCCAATATCCAGAAAAAATTAACGTTTGGACAGGAATATTGGGACACCATATTGTAGGACCTCTATTTATTGATGAAAAATCAACAGGGGAACCGTATTTGAATATGCTGGAAAATACTGTTGACTCTTTCATCACTGAAATCGTCGAAGCGAATCCTAATGAAGTAAGAAACTATTTGGATACCACTTTTCCCGATCGTTGGCTTAGCCGTCGAGGTCCTACAACATGGCCAGCCCGCTCACCAGATTTAACACCTTTGGACTTTTTTATGGGGCTATTTGAAGCAAAAGGTGTACGAAACTGAACCTGCCGCAATATTGGATATACGGTAGAGAATAATAAATATTTGTAGAGATATTGACGTTACTGTGTTCGAAAATGTTCGGCGTGAAATATCGGATAGGCTGTTCATATGTCAAGAAGTTCAAGGCAACCATTTCGAGCATCTTCTGAGCTGACCTCAAGAGTATTACCTCATATTATGTAGTTAAATGTCAATGTATTCAGGCAATTATATAAAGTTCCGCCATTTTGTAGTAGTTGAAGATATTGACATTATATTCTGGGGTTGTGAAGCATTTGTCAGGAGCTTCAAAAAGATGTGTCACAAGTCCAATATAACTCAACGTTATCTATATTAATGGCAAGGTATTTTCCAGATACAACTGTCTGAAAACATTTGGGGACACAGTCATCAGATTTATTTTGATTTCTGATAGAATTTTAGTATAAGTGATGCTTCTAACATGATTGGAGCTTTCTTTGCCAGATGGAACTGTTGCCACTTCGCTGCAATTGAAACACATCTTATCTCAGACGGAGGTTTCGTAATTTTCATTTGAAATATTAATTTTCCCAATCTCAAACTGTGACTAGAAATATCTTCAAGAGAATTTGCTGAATTCTCCTAATTAAGTTGTACCTACTGAATGATGACACAAACATTTGATAAGGTTAACCACCGATTAAACCCCTTTCCGCTTCATATCAGTTACACACATTTCTCTGAAAACAGTGCTCCGAAGTTGTAAAAATCCACGAGTTGACGTAATAAAACAATTTTTATGACAAACTTCCCGTCTTACACTGATTCATTCAAGTTAGCTCGTTTCTCATGGATTGCTCAATGAGAGTGATATCATCTCTCGGGGTATTTCATACAAGGTAACTTTTACGTTCCCGCTGCCTTACACGATTGCTAAGGAATTTCTTTTGTACGGATTTGCCAACAGAACGGACGATTCATGGAACCATATAGAAAATATAGTGCGGTAAATAAACTGATTCAAAGAATATAAACAATCCTTCAGTTATGTCTTCTTGAAATTTCGTTGCTTCTTTCGCCCAGTGAAGAATCGTTTTTCAAAAATATACAAAAGGTGCTGATGTTTTCGCCCTACCCCTCAATGTGAACTTTGAGATTGAGAAGTATTCCGCGAGTGCATATTATATGGTGGCTACTAGTATTAAATCTATATGAATTTTAGTTAACCCTAACCTTCAAAAAAGTGTGTTCAAATTGCACAGCTGTCGGACTATTACTTTGTGGGATAGCACATTTTGAGTGAAGCAACTTTTGTTAGTTTGAAGAAAATGTATAAAAAGAGAATTTCGTGTGTTAATAAATCATTACTTTTAGACGAAAAAAGAACTGTTGAAGCCAACACTTGGCTTGATTACCAATATTCGGACTTTGCATCAGGAAAATCAACCATTGAAAGTTTAAACGGGGTGAAATGAGCACCGTTGACGATGCACGCAGTGTAAGCCCCAAAGGGGCTGTTACCGACCAAAACATCGAAAAAATCCACAAAATAATATTGAATGACCGCATACTGAAATTGATTGAGATAGCTGAGGATCTAAAGATATCAAAGAAACGTGATGACATAGTTGGGTATGCGAAATATCTGTTCAAAGTGGGTGTCGCGCGAGTTCACAAGAACAACAACTATTCTGAGCAGTGTTTGAAGCTGTTACTGGAGCGTTCGAAGAACTAAATCACCAAAAAAAGGACCCATTTGAAGAAAAAGAAAGTAGGATTCATCAAGACAATGTACCGTGTCAAAAATTAATGAAAACGATGGCAAAATTGCATGAATTGGGCATCGAATTGCTACCGCATCCACAGTATTCTCCAGATCTGGCCCCAGAGACTTTTTCCTGTTCTCAGACTTCAATAAAATGTTCGCTGGAAAGAAATTTAGCGCCGATGAAGAGATAATCGTCAAAACAGGCCTATTTTAAGGCTAAAAAAGATTGAAGCAAATGTTATATAACAATTGATTTTCCCCCTTTTCCCTTTTCTCTAGCTTAGTCTATAGGTTATTTCTTTTTCAGTTAATATCTTACTGTACATCTCAATTTGGATTTTTCTATCTAGTAACTTAATTGTAAGTATTTAATTAGCTACAAACATACTAATTTGTACATATGTTTATCACTTTCTGCTACTCTGTTACTGGACAAGCGATGCTGTCTGTTGGGTAGCCTATATGTACAAAATAAAAATAAAAAAATAAAAAACAACAAATCGTAGTAGAAAAGTAGATGAACAAGGCCCGTACGAGCTCAAAATCCCATGTATGTTCTTTAATACAATTTACCTCAGCTACCGATGACCACTAAGACCACGTGACTAAGGCGCGACAAGGGGGCTCAGGGGTGAAGGCCCGATGGATGAGGCTGAGTCCCAAAAGGGCCCCGGTCCATGTTCTCATCTTTGAATCTCTTCGATACTCATTCCATCCTTCTCTGCATTGATTACGTCAAACATTTCTGTCTTCTACTCCCTAAAGTCTCTCTGAAACACACCTACCTCGAGTTGTGTGTGCCACAAGGTTGCGATCGAATGTCATGAAAATTGCAAAAAATTTAGCGCCATCAGAAAATACATGGAATTTTGAGCTCGTACCGGCATCTACTTAGAAAAATGGCATCAAAAATTGTATTACCACTATAATCGTTATATAGGTATTGAAGGCAAATATATTGAATAATAAAATCAAATATTATCAAAAATATTTTTTTGTGTCATTCTACGACAACTTCTCAGCCCAACTGTTACATCGTTTGAATGTATATCATTAAAAATAATAATATAAAATTGGTAAATACTCGGAAACGACAGAAACAATGGGGAATGTTCCTCAATTTGGGATATTACAGCAAATGTAAGTTTGAACAAAATAAAGTTGAGTTTAATTCATGAGTTTTTCAAATTCACTTCGAAAAGTATTCAAATTGATGTTTCAAATGTTGGGTTTTAATTTTTAAAGGGATTTGTTTCTAATTCACATATTGGCAACAGCGCCTATATAATGTTGGAATAATTTATACGTACCTAGATATTCTACTTTAAAAAAGGAAAATTATCTTTATGAATCAACAATTAAGGCAAAATATAAATTATAGTTCAATACCACCTCCACAAGCCACATAAATAACAGTTGTTTTGTTATTTATTTATATAGAGGAAGATAGGCTAGGTGCACAAAATGGCATATGTCACAGAATGTCTCGGAACTCGGAACATAAGTAAACAGAACAGCACGCCTCTAAAATATGTCATCTTTGTTTGTCTCGTACAGGTAACAGATACATTGTCCTTTATTAGCTATAACCGATGTCGCCAAAGGGTGAAATAGAAACGAATCCCTTTAAATGTTGAATGCATTATTTCATTCCTCTTTTTTAAGAATTTAAATATTTTTTTAAAGAATAAGATTGAAATGATAAGTTTAAAATGCGTTGTTTTAGAGCTCTTTTATGAAAACTACTTGATTTCCGTCAGGAGGAACATTCCCCATTTCCAAACATGAACCAGTGGTCGATGATAGTAACCTCTCGACAACTAGTGATGCCACACTATTGTGCTTTTCATTAAAATGCACTGAAAATGATGAATATTAGGTATCAAGGCAGATGCTATTTTTTCCTTATTTTATCTTGCCATCGCCAAATATCTTTCCATTTCTCCGTGACACTTCTTACTCGTATTCATAGTAATTTCATTGTACTGATATGATCGGAAGGATTCAATTATCCGATTAATCCCTATAATTTCACCGAATGCGAAATTCATTGCCATAATTTTAATCATACATAATTATTCATTCTCATTCGTCCTTCCTTCTTCAAAGGAAGTAGGAGAACATACTACCCCCGAGAATTTGATTCAAATCCGCCCCTGACTTTATCAAAAAAAATGAAAAAAGTGTAAAAAGTGCGTTTCATTATTCATGAAAGTTACCTCAATATTTATATTGCCTGGTAAGAAATGTCAACTAATTATTCAAGTAATTGATGTGGCGAACAAAAGAAACGTATCCCTTAAACAATTTTCCTCACCTTTGTCTCTAGACTGATAACACCCCGGCGGATTCTTCATGTTGAAAGGCAGCGGTTGGGGTGCATCTTTTTCTATACAATGCATGAAGAGTCCCTGTCTCCATCCGGCTGACATTAGCCAATCGGTAGACGCCAATCCCATTATCATTAGTATTATCACTATAAGTCCGCATATAAAGGCTATCACCTGCAACAAAAACACTAATTGAAATACCAGAAAAGCAAAAATGTTTGATAACGGCATGTGAAAGTACGAACTATTTCGGAAAATAATCGCAGGATAAGTCGAAAATAATAGAGAAATAATGTAAATAACAACATTGATACTTTTTTCAATAGTTTATGTATAACATAAATTACATATACAGGACGCTTTTTTTAGCTGATACCACTATTGATATCTCGGAAACGGTCCTACAAGGACGGTTACATGGAACAAAAGTTCCCTTATTAGGAATGCAGCATAATATTATTCTCAAATCGATAAAATCACCAACCGCTTCCGAGATATTTGCAAAAAAACTGAAAATAACAGATTTTATCTTTTTGCTCTACTGCCCCCATTTTCAATAACATAAAAAAATGACAGAAACTTTTCACTTCGTTCAATGTTTTCCATAATCTAATTCAATCCATTTTCCAATGCGAGTTTCGTTCACTGAAATCCATTCCGGCATTTTGTATAACGAATTCATCGTGCCCAGTTTCAGCTCCTATGTCTTTCCGTAGGTGCGTCTGACCAGCATTAGTGCTAACTCCGCTTCTATCCTGTCTGAATATTGATTCTTGTTAGGTCTGGGATTTAAGAACTCCACAGATATTTCACCCTCCAAACTGTATCTCTTCACTCGGTAAGTTTTAGATATCCTAGTACTTCTGCCTTACTCCTCTTGATGAATGCTACCCTGATAGATTTGGATAGACTTAAGTTAAGCCCTTCCTTGTTATCAAGTTAAGAACCTACTGCATTCCTTCTCTCATTATTATTGGACTAGAAAGACTGAATCTACCATGGTTCACAAGATGTAGTAAATCGTTCATTAGAAAGTGAGAACACACATCTGAGGACAGCCATTACAGTTTCCACCATAATGGTCGTATATAGCAGTCTATCTCTGAACATGCAGTCTATATCCACCTGCGGCTTGTCTCGTCGATTCTTCTTCTCCTCGATGCCTGGATGATTAATTCTGACAAAAGATGATCACTTGGTGATCGAAACACGTGTCAAGGTATTAAAATAACGGTTTGGTGTTGGGAAACAACTCCAGTAATATTAATTACTACACCATAGGTTCCAAACAGTGCATCACAAATCTCTTTAACAAAATTACAAATATGAAGTGTCTGTTTCGTAATATGAAATGCTTCCAAATTTCGGAACTAACCATAAAATTGACCTCAAAAATAAGTTGGCACTTATCAGAACGCACGCATGCACAGTCAGATCAACAGAAATACAGAAAGAAGAAGTAAATTAAATGCAATATGCAATATGAATGAGTTTTACGGTGTTGCCAAGTTTATATCAAACGTTAGTGACGTCATGGCAATCGTTTTTATTAGATTTCGAAAAAAGTACTGACAAAAAAAAATGAAAAACATAATAAATTCATTCTTTCATTTCTCTTTCGGTTCACGTTCTCTTTTTTTTAAGAAACTCTTGAGACTTTGACGATACGTTGTTAAAATCCACTGTCTAATGGTATCAATAATTGAAAATCATCTTGATGAAACATAATCAACGAATTTCTCTTGAAGTTATCCTCTTCCTGAAATAATAATTATTTTGTGAATTGAACAAACGAGAAGGGCTTATTTTCGTAAGTAGCTCGTACATCTCAGCCGGGTCTGTGATTTCTCTTCGAAAGTACAAAGGAAATTCGTTTTGTACCTGCGCTAGAGCATAGATTAGGTATGCATTGAAATTATTTCTATCCCGGAACAATCCTGAATTTATATCAGGTGAAACGAAAGATATGGAAATAAAAGAAAGATGTGAAAGAAAGCCAATCGATGAATTTTAATGAAAAGTCACGGCGTCTCCAGATATTTTAATTTCTCCAGAGAAATAAGGAGGCTCTAGGTTTCAAAAGTAACGGGGAACTTGTGAAAACACTTCCAACACGTTTAAACAGTTTCAGTTTTTTTTTTTTAGTTTTTGGACAGGGGGATAATTTATATCTATGACTAGAATAAACAGAATAGTCCATCGAAAAGTAATTGTTCGTTTCATTTATTTATTTCTCAAAAGTACAGCTATTACAGTACAACAAAATTCTTTATGGAAAGAAAAGTTTTTGGTTGTCTACTTCTTCATCTTTCCATGCTTGGGAAAAAGTGATTTCCGTATAATTCAATGATCATATGAAAGTAGCTGTTTCAGAAGTACTTTTTCTTTCGTGTAATTCAATGTTCATGTGAAAGTTTCGGGAAGGCTTTTTTTTCAGTTTGTATCTAGAAGCAACTTATATCCATGATCTACACATCTTTGTATAAATAGTTCACTTTGAACTTAAATGCTCTCTTGCGTCCTTTGGAAGTTTCCCTCATTTTTGATATAAAGATGAAGAAGTACAAAGCCAAAAACCTTCCTATTCCAAAGACTAATCTCTTCTAAAAATATACCCCTTTCAATTTGAACAATAGAATAAATTTTTGTATTATTCAATTACAACAATTAACCAATTGTCACACAAGACATCGAAATTAAACACTAAAAACTATCTGCAAAACACAATAACCATGAATTCAATCCAGTTTTGAATTTATTGTTGTGGTATTAACGGCAATCACTTAAATATTTTAGTTAGGGCTTGCCTATTTGAGTAGATAACGTACGTACTATATATTTATTGACTTGAAACAGTGTATTACATAAAGAAATACAAATATTGCCAAATATTTACTCAAGCTATCTGATACATGTCAGTTATTAGATTAGACGATAACAAGTAAACTGCACCTTAAGGTTTCAATTTGCTTGCTTGGTATAGGATCAGAACTTTTGTAAAATATCAGTTTTTCTTATAGTATACATTGATAAAAAATGTTGAGAAATGTTGAAAAATTTCATACAAATGAAAAAAATTAGGGTGTTCAATTTGAAAAAGTTGAATTATGTCTGTTTGAAAATGAATAAAATTCGACTGGTTTTACCGAGCACCCTATATATTGTTTCCGAAAGTTGAGATTCCCGAAATTATCATAGTGATGTTGACTAACTATTCCTAAAAAATTCCACTTAATTGCTGTAGACATGCGGGTGGTCAAATGAAAATATTGTCTGCAAAATAGGTTTTTCTGGAATAACTTGGCAATGCCGCAACGGAAACTCGAAAACAAAAATTCCTTAGAGAGCTAAAAAAAATATGGAATCGAATGACGTATTCATATACTGGGTGTTCTATTTAAAAAAATATAACTTTGGTTGGCCACGCTCGGCTGAATCACCCACTATGCGAGAAAATTATTTTGATAGATAGTATTTATCGACATGTCTGGCAAAAAAAATTGAGCAGTTTGAAAAATTGTTTCCTCTGATAGCAATGGACCGAGGTAATCTTGTTGACTCACCCTGTATATTGCTTTTTATGGAATTACTTCAGTATCTTGAAATTTCAGAACTACGTTCGAGGAACAAAAGAAATTGCAATATATTTGTAAAATCGCTGAGTATCAAATTATATCGTCAGTCCCGTGAAAATACAAGCGAAAAAAATCCATGAGTAGATGGTGCTAACAGATGATTTCAAAATTTTCAATTATAGCTAATGAAAATTAACTTCAAATTCAAGAATTTTAATTTACGACGTCATTCTTTCTGAGGTGCATTATAGCAAACAGCATTCTCATTCCCATAATTCTATTCAATTCTAGTTTGTTTTTATTGTTTCTGCAAAGTTTCAATAAAATCGGAAAATTGAAATTAAATATGCTTTTTTGCTACTAATTTCGAAAGCTCCACTTTTTTCTTTTTTTATCTAGGTACCAATTATCAGTTTAAAAAACTCACCTTGTTATGGATTTATCAAAACTTCACAAAAGTGTTTTCAAGTGTGTATTTACTTGAATATAGAAACTCATTTAAACTTGACCAACAACTATACTTCAACACCTTATCAGACGGATACGTCACATTTCAAGTACGATATATATAAATTTTCATTGCCTTCATGAAATTCGATACTTTCTCAAAATGGTTTCAAAATGAGCTTTTGCGGTGTTTCTTGACAGGATGTTGAATGTTCTTTATTTACGGGTTACGTGACTAAACATAGAGATCGTTTGTTAGTATTCAAGTGTTCAATGATGTAAATAATATACGAAGAAAGAAAAATAAACAAACGCGAGTTCAACGGGAGTGATTAGTTCAATATCTTTTGTTGCTAGTATGGTCAAGGACCGGATGGATATTTCGATAAGCACATGCAACGTCTGTAGATTTAGACCGACGCGACGCGATGCGACGACTCATCGACTTTAGGACAACAAATATAATATTACTAATAAAGACAAAGTGATAAGCTGGGTCCTTCGTTGCATGCTGTGGAATCAGGCCTTGTAGACTGCTGGTCCACCCATAATGTCTGGGGTTCAAGTGTGTGGCACTCAGCCAATTTTGAATTTGGTAAAACGATCTTAGTGAGTGTAGAACAACATCAGAAGTGGGTGGCAACCGAACAAGATTAACTTTACCTGCAGACATGGACTTTTTAAAAAGATCGTATCGCATGTCGTTTCGAGTCCACTGAACGTCCCCTGTTGGTACAATGCTTTGAACACAAGCTCTCCAGCCTGTTATTTCAAATAAATTTACTACCACCTCATTTTCATCGTTTAATTTAATTTTTTACTCACATTTTTTATATTTTACTCTTTATACCCTTTAAAACGAAATAAAAAAATAAAATCTTCTACCCCACCTTTTGTAAGGTGAACCCCTTATTTGGTCTCTGGGAACTGGACTATTATGGAATGAGGTGGTAGTAAATTGATTTGAAAAGGGCGTTATTGTTATGAAAATGACGAATGAATTTACTACCACCTCATTTCAACAAATACCTACTCATTCCTCATGAGTTATCAAATTAGGGGGTGGGTGGGGTTGGTGATGGGAGGGGGTCTGGAGAACCTTATCGGACCCAAATATAATTCGAAAATACAACCAAAGAATGCATGGGTCGC